CATCCACTTCTCTTTTAAAGAAGAAGAAGGGAAAGAAAGATGTAAGTCCTCTTTCCCTCCCCAAAGGATAGTACCTCTTGTGTATCAAAACTGCAGTTCATTTCATCAGTGAGAATGTGTTTTTACCAGGACTGGTCTTGTGCAGGACCAAGACAGGAAACAAATTGTCAGTATATAGATACGAATTGACTATTCCAAACTCTGGAAGGTACATGACACAGGAGACCAGAAATAGTGGTCCATTCTTCAGGGCTGAGACTCTCAATTTAGGATTAGAGAGAGGACATGGGCTGACAAGTAGTGCCCAGAAGCATTTGTTAATGAGGAATGTGAAAGTGCTGCATGCCTCATTTGAAGTAAGATTCCCTAACCTAAATGTAAGAGATCTTCCTTTATACAGGCATCATCAGGATGTGCTCTACTTTGGGGATATGTTCCTTCCTGAGTGTTGTGGAGAAAGTGAATCTCAATAAAGTAGTCTGTGATCATGGAGAATGTTGTCTCTACAGGTGTCTCCTGTGCAAGCAAAGTGGGAATAAACGTCAGTATTAGGACTAAGGGTTAGAGTTTCGCTTTGTTATGGTCTTCACTGGGCCCCATTGTCCTATGAGAGGGCATGGGATCTAACTGGATAGTGGTGGGGTGCAGGTGGGGCATTTGACCCAAGTGTCAGAGAAGATTGGGAGCACAGCCAAGACATTCCCACAGAGAGCCTACAGACAAGGTTTTTGCCTCATGCCCTGCTGACTTCTAGACTTTTTTGAGAAGGCAGGTGGCTGGATCAGCACAGTGGCTTACACATCATCAAATATTCCTCCACACCCTGGCATGGTTGGTGTGACCTGCCTTCTGGACAAGCATGACTGAACATGAACAACACCTTCTAGTAAGAAGGTGCCATTTCCCTAACGGGTGGGGCACACTGTCTTCCCATTCCTCTTCATCAGCTATCTTCTACTGTCTTCATGCTCCATTCCCCTTCCATTGCACAGAACTTGACAGTGCAAGCATCACTCATATCATTCTACCCTAAACTCCTCTGCTAGGTATTTGTTACAAAAACAAATATAGATCTTTGTAGAGACATGCTTTTCTTTGTCAGAAATGTAGGTTGTAGAGCTGTGATGCTTCTAAGATTTACTCGCTCCCTCCTGGCTTATCACAAGGCACTGTGTGAAAGGCAAGAAAAGCTAGCACCAGGTAGATGAGGATGTATCTATACCCCAGTTGCTAAAAACATGTTTGAACCAGTCACCTTCAATAATGTAGAGCTAGCAATGTAGAGTGTAGTGATGGAGTGACCTTTCTTCTACTGTTACTTGCCCAGAATATCAAACACTTCGACCCCTCCACTAATACACTTATGAGGAAATTACAATTGGAAAGCTAACATACACGGGAAATATCTAGATCTCTTCTGAGCACTACCCATCTGATACAAATTAGATATGGGAGACTGAATCTCAGTTTTGGTCCCATTTAAAAGTGTCCAAAAGAATTTTAAGGATGTTACATTGCCAATTTACCTTGAAAATTTATACCTGGTATATTGGAAGATGCGTCTGAGAGAGGGTTAACATTTATATTCAAAAACTGTCCACATCCTGGTCTGATGTTTAACCAAATCTGAAGGCAGTATAAAGAGCTAAAGAATTTGAGTAGGCTTTCATATTATTCACCTTGCACCCTAGGGTGGGTGGGCCCTGCCTCAGCCTCCAGTCTGTAGGTCTAGGAGGAAAGGCTTTGTAGTTGGAAGAGCTTCCAGGTGATGCTGATCTGAGGTAAAGGTGTTAGAAATCAGTATCTAAGATCCAGATTGTATCACTATTCCAAGGCCACTGCAATTCACAGATTCTCCTTTATTAAAAAAAAAAAAAAAAAAAAGCTCCTGCTTGCTGCTCAGACCAAGAGAACTAACATTTGATTGCATGCCAAAATCTGATAATTTACAGGTTACTTAATCTGCTGAAATACCAGCAGAAAGTTCCTGTATTTGAAAATAATAGAAAAGATGTCAAGAGCTAGTGAAAGGTGCATTTTAGCACTACGCTGTGATCCATCATCCTGGAGTTACTTAATTCAGTTCTTGTACAAACTATACATAGTACTATTTAACAGTGATACCCTCATTATTCTTATGGATAGCTCGCCTTGCTAAATGGATCTTCCCATGACCAGAAGGTTTTGCTCATTGACAGAGTGTCAAAATACGCTGCTATTTTGCTTGTGCCACAAGAAACCAGTAAGGAAGTGCTCAGGTTCGGATTATGGTCCTGAGTTTCCATCAGGTGATCCAGAACAGAATGGACTGCCTGGAGTGGCCTTTGGAGGCTGTCTCGCTTAATAGGAAGAGTATGATGTCAGGTTGGTTATACTATTGCTCATTCTGGCTAGAAGGCTGTGGCCTCCCTGCATCTGAACTGTTCCCTGTACAAAGGACAGTCATCTAAATAATGTTGTCACTGGGCCCTCACTAAATACTGGTTCCAGACCCTCCTTCCTGTCTGACATGAAAACAATTTCTCTCATAAATCCCAAGAGTGAAATAATACAGCATTGCCTTATATATTCATGTGTTTGTAGCATGATTGAGAATATATGCAGCCTGAAATGGGCCAGGATTTACAGCTATCATTCTCTAATTTCCAGTATTTCTACTATCTTAGGTATAGGAAGGAATGTTCATTTAGCTAATTTAATTATCGAAAGACTAGATAGGTACTAATTGATATCCCTTAGAATTTATTCTTTTTCAAATCTTAGATTTTTTTTTTCAAAACTTAACATTTGTGGTGAATCATGCAGCAAATGTCAAAAAGAAATTTACCAGCTTGCCTTTTTTCATCCATAAATGTCGATATTAAAAGAGATGGTTTAACGAGGCATAATGGTGCAAAAATCCAGCATGGTGTGCATCTTTATGGTTTTGAGGCAAGTCTGTTCTATGTACATAGTGAAATCAAAGCCAGCCATAGCTGCATCGTCAGACCCTTCTACAAAATGACAAACAAAAGCAAAGAGATGATCTCCTGAATCACAATCACTTTGGTACTTAGAACAGAGCTGTTTGTGTCTATTAACTTTTTTATTGCTTAAGGTAGCCAAGGACTGAATAATAAAGCATCCTTCCCTCAGAGTGTAAGCAAGGGATTATTCATGTGGCCAAGTCTAATTGTCTGAGATCCTTGCCTATTTTCTCCCACTAGATACTTTAGGTCTTTCTGCTCTGCCACACTACTTTCCACAAAAGAACAGAGGTTTGACTTGAGCCCTCTTTCCCCAAGGTCTATGTTCTCTGTCCTCAAAAGCCAGGTCACCTCTTCAGTGGGTCCAGCTTGGCTGATGGCTGTGGTTGGCTGTAATCTAGACAGGAGGTTCTAATTCTATTGTACAACTGTGAGACAGAAAGAACAATCTTGTGGCACTCTGTAGCATCACTCAGCAACACCAGCGTAGGAAAGAGGACTTCTGTTGCTATAGGGCAGGTGCTGAATGTAAGAAACAGCACGCTAACCACCTCAAATCTTTGGCTTGATCAGCCTCCGTATGTAGCCTGCCGCTGATTCACAAGCTGCCTAGCTTTTTCATACTCAGCATGTCCCCTTCAAGAAGGTATCTTAAGGAACATGAACTAAGCCACTTTTCAGAGCGAGGGGACAGCGCATGAGAAATGCCCTTTCCCCGCTCTTAAAAAAATTCTTGGAACTGGGCCCAGTGGTGCCAGCATATAGTCCCAGAAGGACCACAGATTCAAAGACTTGTGGGCTGTAGAGTAAAAGACAAGCTAGAAGCAGTGAATCCCTGACTCAAAAAAGAAAAACATTAAAGCAGATGTAGATAAAGTACCATGCACGAGGCCCTAGCTTCAACCTCAGCACTGTGAAAATGAACTACGAAAACAAATGCTTGTCATCTGGGTAGAGCTTAGTGGTAGAGAGTTCTTGCCTGGTACCCACAAAGCCCTGGTTCTGTCTTCAGCCCTTGGCAGTGGGGGCAAGGAAAGATTAGAACACCTCAAGTAAAATTGCCATTTAAGTAACTATTTTTAAGAAGCTCCAGCTATATTCCTACATCCTACACAGTTTGACCTTGACCCTGATAATGATGGTAGTAGTGGTCATCAGCAAATTAAAACCCTTTTATGTCTAAATTAGATTTTCTTTTTGAGATCTAATGCCATTCTTGTCTGTATGTCTTAGGGCCTTTCCTTAGGATTTTGCTTTAAAACTTGGTAACATAAAGCCATATAAAAATAAGACTCTCTTATAATAAGACATGCTTTCTTGTGTGTGTACCCTAGTTCTGTAGATATCATACTTGTAACATATAAAGCACTCATTGTACTGCCCAGATGGTTTCATGGCCTATTAGTCCACATAGGTCTTAAGCACCCCAGACATCTGTTCTGTCAGTACACTTCCAATTTGACAATCCTGGGTGCTTTCACAGGCAGAAAATGACAAATACACCTGTTAGGGGAAAGTGGTCTCTAGGGGCTAGTACAGAATTGGGACTTGGTGTATGATCTAGTGGAATGATTTAAGAGCCTGAGAGCTCTATTTTTACTGTAAAATGGTGTGTCCTAAAATAGGCTTTTTGTCCAAGTACAGTGGACCACCTGATAGTTCCTTTCCATCTTATTAATGCCAGTCAAGTTTGTGACTTTTCCAACAAGACATTGAGCAACACTTCTTGGCTATCCTCACAAGATCTTAAAGAGAGATTCAAGGAGATGATGAAGTTTTACAAGGACTGAAGGCGCTATAGGAATGATGCCTTTAACTGATAAGTTTAGGGCTGTGCCATTGTTCGGTGAGAGAGCACTTGCCTAGTGTGTACGAGGTAGTGGGTTCGACTCCCAACAATGGAAAATAATAATGATAACTGATAAGGAATTTCAAGTGCCCCGCTTACATATAATGTTTTAGAAAATAAAATAAAGTGGGTCTTGTGGTTGTGGTGGTGGTTATCAAATCCCATTTTCTGTGTCTTCCTTCTAGACATATGAAGATTCATGAGAAGGACAGCGGCAATGCTACAGCTGCAGCCCCTCCATCCCCTCTAAAGCGTAGGCGGCTATCCGCCAAACGGAAACTGAGTCATGATGCCGAGTCAGAGAGAGAAGACCCAGCACCAGCAAAAAAGGTCCTCTGCGTTTACAGCACAAATGTGCCCCATCGTGTGGCAGAAATATCTCATCTTTATTATTTATCACAGTGTAGAGACATGGAAGACTTCAATTCTGGGCTTGTTTTGTTCTGGGTTTTTTGTTTTGGGGTTTTTGTTTGTTTTTGTTTTTTTGCTTTGTTTTGTTTTTTGAGCAGGGTTTCTCTGTGTAGCCTTGGATATCTTGAACAAGGTTGGCCTTGAACTCTGAGATCTGCTTGCCTTTTCCTCCCAAGTGTTAGGAATAAAAGTGGGGGCCACCATCATTCAGGTCTCTGTCTCTGTCTCTCTCTCTCTCATTTTAATTCTAGGCCTTTTGACATGTGTTCCCCATACTGGTATCATAAAGTATCTGGGGAAAGGCACCTATATGTGTTTTCTCTTTAGAAGGCCCAGGTAGTGCATGGTGAAATAAATGAAGAAATTTCCAAGTTGTTCCCATGCTCTTTACATTGTTTGTGTAGCTGAAGTGGAAACTTCATCAGCATTAGGGACTCACCTCTGTTCCTAATGCCTTGCAGATATACGTGGTCCATAAGTACTAGTTGATTAGATGAGGGGACTAAGGAATGGGTGAATGGATTGAGTGGATGTATAGTGGTAGTGCTCACTGAGTGGATGGATGGGTGGGTGGGTGGGTGAGTGGATGATTGGTCAGTCAGACCTTGCTACTGAGTGAAGAACATACTTTTTAGAACTTTGTGGACTAATGTTAGCAAACCTGTGTGGGAGACCATCTTGGTGATGCCTCTCTGCTTTTTCCTAAGATGGTAGAAGATGGGCAGTTGGGTGATTTGGAGAAGACAGCTGATGAAGTCTTTCACTGCCCAGTGTGCTTCAAGGAGTTTGTTTGCAAGTATGGACTAGAGACCCACATGGAGACCCATTCAGATAACCCATTAAGGTAGGAGAAAGGTGAATTATATCAGTGGTCTGGGAAATTACTTGTTACTGTTTCTTCTGGCATATGACATTCTTATTTCTTATCACTCCAAACTGGGCTCCAGCAACTGAGCTTTCTTACTGGGACAATGGGAAGACACTTAAGAAACACATGCATGATATGGAGAAAAGGTTGGGTTGAACATGGTGAGCAAGCATGGCTGTAGCCATGGGCTGTGTTTGCTTTGTTCTTAGTAAGGTCTCTTGAGTAATCGCTGAGTCTTCAGGCATTGAAGAATCTCCTGTCCCGGGGTACTTTTGTGTAACAGACATACTTTCTTTGCAAAAGGTGTTGCAACCAAAATGATGTCTGCTGTACATGGATAAATGGTCTAGACAGGGACACCCCAGGTTCATGTCTCAGAATGGCACTGACATGATCCAGGTGCTTAAATTGAACAGACCGATAGTGCAGAAACCTGAATGTTGTTGGTAAAAAAGAACTCTTGGGCATACGAGCAGGAAAGCCTGTTACATAGTGTAGGTGTTTACTGCTTGTTCTGTTCCTCTAGCTTCTATGTTAGGTCTTAGCAACCATGTTTCTGATCCTCAGCTTCAAGGGGTTAAATGTATGGATGGTGGTATAATTTCCAACAGTGTTAGAGAGGGGAGCAATTCTGTCTTTGCCTAACTTCTCTGATAATTTTTACCAGGAAAAAAAAAAATCCTATATTCTAGGTGAACAAATAGGCTTAGAAATTTCCCATCAGAATTGCTGTCATTTATATGTTCCATCAAAGATTTTAATCATTAAAAAGGACAAAGAGCTACGTGGGAGCCTCTGTTCAAGCATAATAGCTGAAGTTTCATCTAAGGGCAGGCCCCCATGTTGTTTTGGTCGTGAGCCTAGCCTTTACCGGCTGAGCCATCTCTCCAGCCCATTGTCAAGATTTTAGAAGGCATTTTGGGAACACAGGTTTTGGGTATCTGTTTGCCTAAATTCTCTTACCAGTTTTATGTCAGTTTTTCACTGGAGTGGGAAAAAGAACTTTCTCCAAGAGGTTAAAGTATGAAGCCGTGGAATGGTGTAAGTACCTAGGTGGAATTTCCCAATCTCAAGACAGCGCCTCATGGGCTGGCCAGTGTCCAGTGGGACTCTGTCTACATCCTCTATGAGAAGAAAAGGGCCCACTCCAGAAAGATCTCCAAAGTATCCTTACTGTCCTTCACCCAAGCCTGTCATCTCCTTCAGCGTGGTTCCCATCAGTTACACCTGTATCTGTTTCCCCATTCACATTGAGGTAGGGCTAGATCAGGAATGCCGTGTTCTCTTCCAGTCCTCTCTCATCCTGAAATATGTCTCTGAACTTCTATCCACTGAGAAATAGCTATCCCTCTTGACAATAACCATTGGTTCTAAGAATTTCAAGAATGTTTTGTTTTTTGAGACAAACTCTCTACATATCCTCTGCTGTCCTGAAACTCACCATGTAGACTAGGCTGGCCCTGAACACACAGAGATCTGCCTGCCTTTGCCCACAGAGAGCTAGGATTAAAGGCATGCACCACCACGCCTGGCCAGAAACTTAACTTCATAGTCTCGTTACCCACAGCACCTGCCTTGTGTGGAGCTGTGGAGAATACTGAATTGAGATGACACACAAGCCTCACCATGAGAGCAGGGCAGAGACAGGAGAATGGCACATGAGACACCAGTTCTCCAGCTGGAGATTCCTGCCAGGCCACCATGATTTTAATGCTCTTGTGTATATTTCATCACACCTCACATTTTATTTTGGATCAGGTACTATTTTAAGACCAACCTACTTTTACCTTTCTTGGAAATTCCATCATACCAGGAAGTAACCTGGCTTTTGTGAGTGATTTCTAGGTAATGTGAGGCTGGTGTGGTCGAGATGAGACAAGACCAAGTGTCCTTTTCTGAAATGCTGGTCTAGAAAGCCTTCTTCCTCAGAGCAAATGGAGGTGGGAATCACATTAGACATGAATCAGTCTGTGGCCAGAACCATCTTCACCATGGTGCATAAATAGGCTTTGAGGTTGAAGCTCTGTAGTCCTGTACTGTTTGTTACCAAAGAAGTTTTCTTTGCCTGCTTAATAGGGACACCATTTGGTGAAGGGTTCACAGAAGAAGCTTCTTAGCATTAGAGGACTTAGCCCCTTCAGACAGCCTTTCATTCCATCAACCCCACAGCAGCTAGCCATGGATTGCTCCTAAGAAGTGGGTGGCTTGGTGGCTTGTGTGCCTGGTGAGCAGACCAGCCCTGGCTTCATGGCTCTATCTAGTAACTGAGGCCGGGTGGGGCTGGCTTTTGAAAACCGAAAAGCGTTGATTATAGAACATAGTTAATTCCTCTTTTCTCCTCTCTGCTCAGCTTCCACATAATAGCCTACTATCAGAGGAAGCCTTGGGGCCAGGCATGGGCCAGGAGGGGCCGAGTTGGGGTAGTGCATTATAACAGTAGCTGATGGGAGAGACTGCTTGTTAACCCAGAGCTAAAATAGACACCAACTCCATTTTCAAATCCCAAAAGGCAGTAGAGTCACTGTGCTACCAGTTTAGAACCAGAGTCTCTAACTTAAAACAGCTGTTGGTTTCTTTCTTCTGCCCTTCTCCGGATCCCTCCCCTGCTACCAAAGTTGGCAAGGTGCCCATACTCCTTAATAAAGTGTTGGCAATAAAAACTTGTACATAGGCTGAGTCTTTTCTCCTCCACTCTGCTGTGTTTCAAAATAATCAAATCCTGGCATCAAACAAAAGGAAGATACAAAGTCACTAGCAAAGATACTTGTTCGTAAGATGGGGTATTGCTTGTGAGACCTTCTATCTAGCTCCTGGGCAAGGGGTAATAGGGCAGAGGAGAAAGCTGAATAGAACATGCTGGGCAGTGTTGATGGTGAGGGACAGTGCAGAGAGCAGGTCGGTACAGAGGGGAGAATGTGCCTGGCGCTGAATGTCTTGCTTTGTTGTTAAAGTGACTGCTGCACTGCTGGGGATGTAGTGAGCTGGACCAGTGTGCAGACCAGTGCTGCTAGCCAAACAGCATGACCCATGTGTCATTTGAAATCTTCTAGTTGCCACATTTTGAAGTGAAAAGTGGTATTGGTGGTATGTTTTTACCTTCTCGCTATCTTATAATTTAGTAATTGAAATCTGTCAGTGCTTATGTGCAGTCCTAGCTCCTCTTAATGGAAAGCAGTCCCATGCCAGGTGCTGATCAACCCACAGAGCAGGTTAAAGACAAGCCAGAAGGCAGTGAGGCCTTCCCCAAGAGTGGGTGAGCTGTGGCGATGGATAGTCACCATGATGCCAAAAGCAAACTTGGATCAAGTTATTGTATAATCTTAGGTGGCTTCTTGATTAAAGGGAATTGGGTAATAAGTAATTTTAACATTATTTTAGTTAAAATATATCCAACAAATGACTTAGTCCTCATTGTGACAGTGCAAGGCATTTAACCAGTCTTGAGAAAAACAGGGATGTTTGAAGTGGGACCTGGAGGCTGATCAGAAGAAGGGCAGGTGGGGGAGGATAGGCAGCTTCAGGGCCAGGAAAGACACAGTGACTAAGAGCTTTGGATCTGACATTGACTGTTGTGGCACTCCTATCGTTCCTGCCAGGTTATGGCCATCATTATGGTCATATTATTGATCTTGGGGTAATTTAAAGTTTAAGGCAGTGTCCTCAAATCATTCAGGCAATAGAATGTGGGAAGCCAGAGGGGTGTTTGGCAAGCACCCAGGGCTCTGAGGGGAAGTTAAGCACTACCATAGCCAGAGCAAGCTGCAGGCCAGCCATCCCCTTTGTACATCCTGGCTATGGGGCCACCTGGTGAGACATACCAGGACATTCTTGTCTTTGTTTCTCTTCACTGCATACCTACCACCTGCGAAGACCCCCTGAGACTCTTGGTGTGTCTTTGACCCCGTATTCTCAACATGTTAAATACAGGAGCAAAGGTAAATAGAGTATTAGAGTCTTTATTGAGACTCCAGTAGTTGGAGGATCAGCCAAGTGAGGACAGAGGCCTATAGGGGATGATACTCCCCTGGCCTGGCAATTAGAGCTCCTTCGTCCTCTTACCTTTCACAGCCTCCTCATCACCCAAGAGCGGAGCAAAGACCAGGTTCACCCAGCTCCAGAGCTTTCTCCTTCTGTGTCCTCTGAGCCCTTAGACTACTCCCTCCCTGCTTTGTGTCTTGCAGGCTTCATTGAACCTCCCTAGCTGGGTGCCGGTCTGTGGTAGACAGCTTGGATGTGGCAAGGGAAGGCAACCCAGCCAGGGATCTGTCACAGGCCATCATTGCTGCTCACAACAACTGGGAGAGATTACTGCAGCTGTGGATGTCAGTTAGTCCTATGCCCCAGGATGGGCCAGGGAGGGTGGGCTGAGGGAAGAGGAATGTCTGGATGGGGTGGGGCTCTAGACGATGGATTGTTTGCACTTATTCTTTTTGGCCTCTGGAGACAGAGCAGGAAAAATGAAGCATGAAATCCCTTTTTAAAAGGAATGCCAGACTCCATCAAAACCCTGTAATGAGCAAGGAATTGGGTGTCTCCGGGAATCGGACTGGCTGAGTGTCACCCTCCCAGCAGGTATTTCGTAGGGGCTCTGCTCACTGTGGGGAGTGGGGCGTTATCGGTGGTCAGGAAAAGTGCCCAGGCATTGAGGATGTGACACGAGTCAAGAAGGAGCTGGGACTTCTGCAAATGACTGTCTTCTGAGCAAATGGGATTGCAGACAGTGTGGTCCCAGCCTGCTGCCTGGTACCTCCGTGGCCTCAGGCAAGTAGAGGCTCAGTTTCCCCATCTGGGAAATAGATTTGATGATTGTAAGGATGGAGGTGAATGATCTAGGCCTGGGACTGTAACAAATACTAAATTTGTTATTCTGTTAGAACATGTTTTTAAAAGGGTTTTTATTTTTGTGTGTGTACATGTTTGTGTGGCAATGTGCTTTCATGTGTGTAAAAATGGACATCATACCCACTTTTATGGGG